CAGCTAAGCATCTCCCTGACCTCCCTGATTCCTGAGCCTCAGAGTCTGTGAGAGGTAATAAATGTTTTCAGATGCTAAATGTTGGGGTAATTGGCAACAGCAATCAATAATGACTACATCAATTAACAATAAAATGATAACTCAATTTAAATATGGGCAAAAAAATTGAATAGCCACTTTACGAAAAAAGATAATAGCACATGAAAAAGTACTCCATATCATTAGACATCAGGGATATTCGAATTACAATACACACCTACAGGCTAAAATCTTTTAATTTTAGACCAACAACACAAAATGTTGATGAGGTTGTGGAGTAACCAGATTTCTATTTTAAAAAATTGAGATATAACATATATACATACCATACACTTCATCCACTTAAAGTAAACAATGAATACTTTTAGGATAATGCAACCATCACCATAATACATTTCAGAATATATTTATTACTCCAGAAGGAGCCCTATATCCTTTAGCTGTCACCCTCCAATTATCCCAGCACTCTTCTCAAATGCTAGGTTACCATTAGTCTACTTTCTGTCTCCATACATTTGCTTATTCTAAGCACTCATATTAGTAGAGTAATACAGTATATGGTCTTTGTGCCTGGCTTCTTTCACATAGTGTAGTGTTTCTAAGGTTCATTCATTTCCAGCATAAATCAGTATTTCATTTCTTTTTATTGACAAATAGTAGTATTTCATTGTATGAAATATCTCTTAAAAATTCCATCATTTGATAAACTTTTAGGTTATTTCTGCTTTTAGGCTATTATAAATAATACTGCTATAAACATTTGTGTGGATTATGTTTTCAATTTCTCCTGGATATACACATTCAGGAAATGAATTGCTAGGTTGTGTTGTAACTTTATGTTTAACCACTTGACAGATTGCCAGACATTTTCTGAGATGGTTACGCCATTTGACACTCCCACTAGCACTGTATGAGGAATCCAATTTCTCCCTTTCTTCATCAACACTTATTATCACTTCACCAACACTTATTAACACTTTTTGATTGCAGCCATCCTGTTGGGTGTGATTACCTTATGGTTTTGATTTCCACTTCCCCGATAGCTAATCATGTGGACCATCATCTCATAAGGCTATGAATCATTTGATCATTTGTATATCTTCTTGGAGAATGGTCTATTCAGATCTGTTGCACATTTTTTTTTTATTCTTTAAAAAAATTCTTGGGGACTATGAAGTTCTAAGCATGGCTTGCTTTTGCAGATTATTTTCTGAACACATACAAAATGGAATAGAAATGGAGAATCTCCTAAGAATCTGAAGAGGTGCAACATTAAAAGCTACAATTATCCAGTAATAAGTGTTGCAGGCTTCAGTTGCCAACCACTTTTTGTTCCCAAGAGTTAGTAGGATGATTATTTTCATTTCTATTTTTTCAGCATCTGGGTCTGCGGGTTTAGCACCTTGAGGAATTGGGATGTTTTTGCCCGCAGACGTGTGTGAATATTGGCTTTAGACCATTTGATGTGGTAGTGCAGCTAGTTTTGAAATGTATGGGTCAGGTTGATGGTGCTGTCCTGAGCACTGGCACTGGTGTGGTGAGGGAACAGCACAAGGGCTGTCACCCACAGCAGCACTGGTGTCTTACAGCTCCAGAGGAGGTTCCTGTGACTGAAGAGGACCTCAGGGGCACTGTGGTCTGTGTCTTTCTTTGGACTCCTGTTTCAAAGGACAGCATTGTCATCACTCTTAAACACTTTGATGAAGACTACTGTGACTCTGTCCTTTTTGACTCAATATACATGGTCTCATTATTTCTATAGGGAGTAACTGCTCTATCCTCTCCTTCCTTGCCCCCTTCTTAGAACTGGAAGTATTTTTCAAAGACAGAGTCAAAATGATTTCGTTTTATAGCATCTACCAACGCAAGCAACAAATGGTCGGAAACTTTCAGGAGTTTAAGATGGAACTTTATTGGCCAAAGCTTTACCTGCGCAGGAGCGAATTCTCGAGGTGTCCGGAGACACGGTGCCCAGAGGGCTGCAAATGAGAGTCGCGCCTGGCGCTTACAGCCTAGGGTTTTTAGTGGGGTGAGCAAGCAAGCAAACACAGAAGCGGACGTGGCCGTTAGCGATTGGCTATCTCGAGAGAACACACATGGCTATGCTTTCTGCTTGCAGCAGTGGAAGACTTTCTGCAAAGACAAGGTGATGCACAAGCGGTTATCTTGTTTGTTCAGCACTCTTTGTATTTTCTATCTTCCTTGCTGGGTCTGGAGCCTGCCTCGGGTTCCTTGTTCCTCTTGGCTACTTTTATCTAATTCTGGGGCTAACAGTTTCAACATGCCAGCCTGATGCACAATGGAATTCTTGGGTGCAGGTAGATTTTTAAGGTATTATAGCATGGAGACATTGTATCCTGATTCTGGATTTACCGAGAAAGTCCCATGCACTCTCTTTAATAACTCATCAGCACCATTTGCCTGAAGTTCCTGACTGTCACTTTGGTTTTGCTTCTGTTAGGATTTCGAATATCATAGAGGACCCCATCAAAATCTTCGAATGTTATTTCTATAGGTTCTGGTTTATTTATAGTGGCCACACTCTTGAACTTGAGCATGATCATTTCCACCACAATGTGCTCGTTCACTCCAGCAACCCACCCGCTGAGCAGCCACTACCGCTGCCTCACCAACCCCATTCTCCATTTTTTAAAAAAATAATTTATTTATTTATGTTTAGAGAGAGGGGAAGGGAAGGAGAAAGAGTGGGAGAGAACCATCAATGTGTGGCTGCCACTCATGTGTCCCCTGCTGAGGACCTGGCCTGCAACCCAGGCATGTGCCCTGATTAAGAATTGAACCAGTGACCCTTTGCTTCACAGGCCCGTGCTCAATCCACTGAGCTACACCAGCCAGGGCCCATTCTCCATTTTTTAATTGGGCAATTTGTCTATTTTATGATTGAATTGTAATAGTTCTTTACATAGTTTAGACACAAGCTCCTTATCAAATATATCGTATGCAAAAAATATTTTCCATTCTCTTGGTTGTCTGCAACTAGAAATCCTAATTTAAAGTGATACAAACACTTTTGAAAAAGGTTTTGGGCTACATTATTTGCCGGGGATACTAAACTAAGCCGGAGGCCTTGTGTGACACAGGTTGCACACACACGAAGTTAGGCGGACAGGGAAGAGTTGGATCTTGAGGCAAGCTCTTCCAGTAAAACATGCTGGATCAGACGACTAGTTTGTTTACTGTGCACACAGAACGAGACATGCTGGCAGAGTCAGACGGTGATGTCAAACAGTGCTGTCCCGTATCTGTTTAAAAACTGAGTTGCAAATTAAAAAAATGAATTGTTCTTCAAATCCAGTTAGTGACACTTTCTACAAAGTATTTAGCTAGAATATCCACAGTATTCTATGAAATTCTTATTTCTAAAATCATCTTCATAACATTTTAAATTTTCCCATCCTTGAAATGAGTCAGAGGTTTAAGGACATACTAAACTTAATATATCCCTTGAAAATTGCATTGTGGTCTATCTCACAGCTCGTTTGATAACTGATATTTATCGTATCTTGGCGTCTTAAGTCAATACCTTGAATTTAACATTCCAACACAGTAATTATCTGAGAGAGAATAATTTATCATTATGCAGGCCTTTTTTTCCCCCCACCAGACCATAGGCTAGGGCTGTCTCAGTCACCACGTGCGGGTTCTCACTCTGTAGCTCCTCTATCCGTCCCAGAGGAGCTCTCCCAGTTACTTGCCCTTCTGCCCCTTTTCTTTTTTAAAAATTTTTTTATTTATTTATTTATCTTTAGAGGGGAAGGGAAGGAGAGAGGGAGAAAAACACCAATGTATGGTTGCCTTTGGTGTGTGCCCTGCTGGGAACCAGCCTGCAATCCAGGCGTGTGTCCTGAGTGGAAATCGAACCACAATTGTCTGGTTTGCAGGCCCATGCTCAATCCACTGAGCTACACCAGCCAGGGTTCCCTCTACCCCTTTTCAATAGCAGGTAGAGATACAGATGTTATCTTATTGTGGAATACAAAGTTCAAAAAGACAGGGTCATTTACTCTTTGATCCTTCTGGTATTTCTAGGCCCTCACAATACTAACATAAGTTATAAAAAGCAAGCAAAACCGATTTGCCAATCAGCAGTTGCTGCTGTGAGGCCTGTTGTCTGTTCTTTGTCGAGTGTGTATTTGGGGATTATATGTGACCTAGGTTAGAAAAGTAATTTTTTATTTAAGGCTTGACAGTATCTTCTTAAATGTCAAGAAGCTAAGACTAACCCCTTGCAGTTCCTTCCCTCTTTCTCACATTCTTCACTGAATTGTTTCTTTCTGATGAATGAGTCATTATTTTGGTGGTGATGAAATGTTTGCTGCCGGACATCTGGGTGTATCCGGATGCAGAGGGACCTTTTTCTGAATCAATCTAACAGTGGATTCTACTGGATGAGTTAACTCTTGTTTTCATTTAAAAGTAAGCTACTTTCTGAATAATTACACTTCAATCTAGAGTAACTTTTAGCTTAGTTGGTGAAGACATACACTGTATCAGCTTTTAACGAGACAACGCTTGTCTGTTATTGAAGAAGAGTGGTGGATCAAACTGGAAATACCCCAATCCTAATGTGAAAGGAGTTCTGCTATGTTGGATTAGGAATAAACTACATCGATGTCCTCCTGTTACTGGTTCATCTGTTTGAGTCCTGAAAGAAAAGAATATTAAATTTACATTTTTAATTTAAAAAGGTTAAAATTCCATAAGACTTTGTCATGTCAATTTCCTTTAGTCAGATTTAACACGCCAAATCTAGGTAGGCTACTTGGGTTCTTTCAGACAAATTCTCTTCTGGAAGAGAACTCTTTCCTCCCAATTAGCACGCAACGGCTCTTGGCCAAGTGGCTCCAGCCCGGCCCGCCCCGCCCCCCGGCCTGCCCCGCCCCCGGCCTGCCCCGCCCCCGCCTTCGCCCCGCCCCCTGTGCCGCCCTGCCGCCCACCCATTCCCTCTGCCTCCCAAACCAGATCCCCCGCCCTCGCCCTCGACCATTTCAAGCAATTTCTCTCGCTCCGCCCCTCAGCGTGGTAGGGTAAAAATCTCGCCTTGGGCCGCTCTGGTTGCTTGGAGGACTCGTCATCTGTTTCCGGCGGCGCTGGGCGGGGCTGAAGTGAGGCGTCAGGAACCGTCTGGGTGCGCAGTCGAGAGTGCTCGGTGGTTGTGCAGCGGGAGATGTCGGGCCTCTTTGGGAGGTGAGTGAGCGAACCAGAGAGTGAGCGAACCAGAGAGTGAGCTGCAGATTAGGCCCATCGGCTGCGCTTGCGGAGATGAAAAAGTGTCGGGACTGGGGACACGGCATTCAGACCCGAGTCCTGTCCCTGTCGCAGCGCCCCCGGCCGGACTTCGTGTTTCGCCATTCCTCCTTCTGGCACCTTCTTTGAAGCATCTCCTGTTTCTGCCACTCTGGATCTCACTCAGCCTTGACCCCACAGGGCTTTCTTTCCTTTCTGACCCCAAACTCTTCCTTTCTTACCAGCTGAGTGTAGTTTGAGGGACCTGTAGGATTTCAACCTGGAGCATTTTCGTATCATGTTTCGTGCAGCTAGCAAACGCACGTGCCTTCCTAGTGATTGCACCTGCGCTCTAGGTGTGCCTTTGTTGTTCGGCTCTGTCGGATGGTTCCAGGCCATTGTGGCAGGAACAAAGAGTGGGTTGGAGTAGGTGTGCAAGCGTTGTGTGTAACTTTTGGAAGTGCTGCTCCGTGCAGCTTGAGCTAGCCGAGGACGTCTGGGAGCAGTCATTTTAGGAAGTTAGGCCGCACCCCGAGTCTTGAAGCCTGCTGTCCGCCCCCGTGCAATACCATCCACCGCATTTCCTCAGCAGCAAGAAATTCCTGGGTTTTTCAGTCTTTGAGGGAGGGCGATATCTGGGAATGTTTCTTTTACTTAAGAGGAATGGCTGTTGCTTTATAACATTGTATCCGCAGACCCAATTCTTAATAAATATTTGAAGAGAAATCCAAGGATTGCTTTCCTTTAAAAATACCTTGAAATTAGTGGTGCCCGTGCTTCTAAACAGCTCACAGATAGAGAGACTTGGTTGATACTAAGAAAATCAATACATGCCATTGCTGCTGATTTTTTGAATTTGTGGGCAAATGCCAAATTATTTGAGAAATAAATTGGTAAGTCACGTTTATTAACAAAGTTAACTGACTTGGGAAAAAATTTGTCAGTCCCAGAGTTCAGGTTGGCTTGATTCCACCCCACATTTCAAGGTGAACGAAGACTCATTGGGTGAGTTCTGGAGTAGGTTTGGGGCTTTAGCTCTGGAGTGGGTATTATCCTAGCAAAGCAGACAGTGAATCCCAACGTCATTCAGACTACAACAGTCTAACCCACAAATACATTAAGAAATAGGGCATCACAGGGAGTGTTACTGGGAAAAAATAAGGTCTCTGTGCTGCGGTTGACATTGTTGGGTAATCCCTCTTGCACTCCGGCCTCCTTCTGTCCCCTGCTCTGTTTTGATTTCCTCCCACCCCTCTCCACTACGTACCTACTAGCAGTGTCATGTCAGCCCTCGGACATTTTTTGTTACTGTGCCCAAATAAAGCGCCGCTCTTTAAAGATAACTCTCAAATTTGTATATTCTAAGTTTGATTTATCCTGAGATGTAGTGCTAGTCAGAAACACCCATTTGCCTCATTTTCCACTTCAGATATTGGGTTGGCCAAAAAATCTGTTGAGTTTTTTCCATAAACTACAAAGACATTTTTCATTTTCACCAATAACTTTATGGATTTGATATTTTGAGTATGTCGGCTATCTCCTGCTGTTGGCTTCAGGTGGGAAGAGGCTAGGGGTGCTGCTAAACATCTTCCAATGTGTAAGACAGCCCCACAGCAAAGAATTATTTGGCCAAAATGTTAATAGTACCATGAAACTTAACGAACCACTTTTGACATGTTTGATCAGTCACAGTACCTTTTCCATACACTGCACAAAGTTTTTTTTTGTATTTCAGTTGTGTTTTTACCTTTCTTGAAATAATGAAGCATAATATACCAAAAATACTGCTTATTTCTTTCCATCTTCAACATTAAAATGGCTGCAGAAAAATTCACCAATTTTGATAAGTTTTTTAAATGCATGCTGATGACAGCTATCACAGTACAATTTAACAAAATTGTTGATAATGAAGTTAAAGACAACTAAGCACTACTAGAGCCACCGTACAGAAAAAACTAAATGAACTTTGACCAACACATTATAAATTTTCACAAAAATGCAACCTTTATTCAGCATCTGCACTTTCAACTTCTTGGCATTATCATTCTAGATTCCTGAAGTTATCTGAGTTCTCCCATGTTCCAAATCCTCATCTCTTCCTGCTGATTAGAATTTGAGCAATCTCCTTAAATATATCAGTAGTCAATTTTTTTCAGAAATGTGATTGGTTAACTGACCTCTCCCATTTTGAATCTGCACAGGACTGCCCTGTTAATCTTGGCTAAAGTTCCCTTTGGCGCCTGCCATTCCTCTTCTCAGAAGCCCTTAAATAAGGTGCACTCCTTTCTTCAGAATTAACTAAAAAATTCCCAGCCTGGGTTTCAAGATTTGGCCCAATGTACTTCATGAATTCAGCAATACTTTGTTATGTTCTTATTCTTGGGAGGCACTGTTCTAGGTAAATGCTATTAGTAATAATTTTAGGACTGTATAAATGTAACTACTTAACTATTAAGGAGTTGAAATTACATTTGGCCCTTTGAAGGCAACCACGATGCTGGTGTGGACCCACACCGAGGCTGGTGTATTACACTATAGCCAACCTGGACTATTTGATGGTCTTGTTTCATATGTAAGACCCTTGAAGTTTGAAAATATTTAAACAAAAGTAATACTTGGTAACACTTATCAACTCTGATAAGTGTCTTAAAGGAAAAGTACAATTATGAGAGAGCCAGGGTTAGAAAAAGGAAGAAGGGTTCAGGGCACTTTTTCAAAGAGGTTCATCTTTAAGTTGTTAATAGTATTCATTGCATTCTCCATCTTCTCTTCTGCTCGACTACATGTTTTGGTTCTTGCTTCTTGAGCTGCCTGTTTATTTTACTTCTATGTAGTTGTTTCTGAAGGCTCAGTATTTGATTCTCTGCCATGTTTTTTCGGTGCTGGGAGTCACCCAGAGGCAGAGGCAGAAGCACTGAGTGTTGCTGGCTGGCTGGAAGCAGCGCTCTGTCTAAAGGAGGCAGCTTCTCAATTCCAGGCATTGTTGTCATTCTAAAATATGGACCTGGGGTTTCCATAACTACCAGTTTTTCTGGGAGGCTGGAAAATTGCATTTTTAGGTGAAATATTTTTTTATTTTTAAATGTTTGTATTGTAGTTTTAAAACACTGCTGACCAAACAAAACACATTTATAGACCCAGCCTGACTCCAGGCCACTAGTTTTGGACTGCAGCCTATTTCTCAGATATTTTTCATTGAGCTGCCTCAGTGATGTTGAATGTGCCTGCCTAATCTGTCTTCAGCTGTCACCTTTTTTCAAGCTCTATTCTCTTTTCCCACTTCCTGTTGAATATTTTTACTTATGTCACTACATCCTCAAGAAATTCAAAATGAAATTCATATTTCATCCTACAAACCAGCTAGTTTCCTTCCCAACCATTTCAGTACCTACATTTTATATGCTCCTGACTTGAAATCTGGAGTCGTTTTTGGCATAATTCTTTCCTTATTGAGTTTTTACTTCATAATAACTCTTAATAAAATCATTCATTTCTGTCACCACCATTGCTATACTTCATCAGTTCATACTTGAATTATTTTACCTTGTACTTGATTTTTTTTCGCTAGTCACATTTCACATTCTGTTTAATACCTTGCCTACTGCTGCTGCAGTAAACTTCATTTAGTGCGGGGAGGAGGCTCCGCCCGCAGAGCCACCCCCTCCCCCCATCTGCCATGGATGAGAATAAGTCTACCAAGTCATGATCTGCTTGGGGAGGGCAGGTGGCCGATCTCTCAAAGGAGAAGGTCCCAGAGCCTTTTCCTCAATGGGCTTTTACTAGGTTCAGTTTTCACAGGAATACAGGTAAAGCTCATCAGTCATTGTCAGGCAGTAAGGATCAAACAATAGATGACTTACAAGAACTACCAGGGCTTATTCTGAGTCAGGGTCAGTTAGCTAAAGGGCTGTAAAACTTTGGGAAACAAACTCATTTCATGCTTGGACCCTTATCAGAAAATTGAGGGCATTCTTAGCAAAGCAGGTGTTACAAGATTTCATGCATTCCTTCTTAGGCCTGATCACCCTGGGGAGCCACCTGTTCCTGCCCAGGGCTGCACCGCCCTCTGTCATTGTTTCAGGCTTAAGTCAGACAGGGGAAGTAAGGCGGTCAAGAGATTAGGAGACTTCTTGCAGACAGAATGAGGACTCAGGCTATGTCAAAGCCAAGGGACAAGGGTCCATCACCCCCATTTTCTACAGCCCCCAAAGCCCTTTCCTGAGGGCCCCTTCGTGACTGTGCCTGTCTTAGGTCCTCCCTCCCTTGAGGAATCTTACCCATCATTGGCTAACTGGTCAGGCTTGGGGCCAGGCAGGGTGAAGTAAAGGGGGCAGAGGCGGTGCCCCTGCCAGGGAGCTAAACTTTGTCTTCTTAGTGGCTTATGGTCCCAAGGTCCCTCACTCAGGGGGTCCCTCACCCATGGGGGTGGGGTGGTCCCAACAATTTAGCTTCTTAAACAGTTTCATGAAAAGTTGTTTAATTTTGTAAGCCTGTGTGTGTTTTATTGGGTAATTGATTGTAAAAATCTTCTACGATAACTTTCTTATCCTTCCAAGACGGCTGTTTTTCATTTTAGCATGTATCAGAATCACCTGAAGGGCATGTTAAACAGATTTCTGGGCTTCACCGCACAATTTCCCTTTCAGTAAGTCTGGGTGGGGCCAACACTTTGCATTTCTCACAGGTTTTCAGGGGATGTTGATGGTGCTGGTCATGGAACCACACTTTGAGTACTGCTCCAAGCAGCCAGTTTGCACGTAACCTAGAGATTAATCTGACCAAGTGAACTAGTAAACTAGAAGCTAATATCTAACAATACAGTAATATTTTATTTTTTATCCTCACCCAAGCACATTTTTTAATTGTGTTTAGAAAGCAAAGAAGGGAGAGAAACATCCATTGGTTGCCTCCTGTGCATGCCCAGTCTGGGCATCGTACACGCCCAGACTGGGGAAGGAATC